TCAAATATTGTGAGCCTAATGGACCAGGAGGACCATTTGGACCTGGTGGTCCATTCGGACCGGGTGGACCTGGAGGTCCTGGTGGACCAGGAGGACCTGGTGGTCCAGGAGGACCAATGCTTACTACAGGTAAAAGTTAATTTTGTTTTCATAATTTATGTTTATGTACATAATGAAACCAACAAAAAAATAATTTACTGGTCGTTATGAATATATCATTTACAGTTATGACAACACCACAGTTGGCAGAACCTGGTGAACCTGGAGGACCTGGGGGACCAAGAGGACCAGGAGGACCAGGTGGCCCAGATGGACCCGGCGGGCCAGGTACAGTTAGTTCTTTTTACAACTCTTTCTTGTTTAAAATTATTTGATGTTTCCATAGTCATTGTCAATTATGTGCTACACAAATGTCATAACTATTGGTCATAAATTCCAATCATAGCAATAATGTATCTTGATTGCCTTGAATTATGTAATGTCTAAAAAACGCAATAGTTGTTACGTTAATACTCTAATCAGAACAATAATATAGAAGTTGTATTATCATTGTTCACTTTAGTACTTTTGGTGTTTTCCTAATTTAAGGTGGACCTGGAGGACCCAATGGTCCAGGGGGACCTGGTGGACCAACATTATCACCAAATGATGTTGGTGGACCAGGACAACCACTTGGACCTGGTGGACCAGGTGGTCCAGGAGGACCAGGTGGGCCAGGGGGTCCCGGTGGTCCAGGGGGGCCTGATGGACCAACATTGGCAACTGATGAAACAACACCTCCTGGTGTAGGGGAACCTGGTGGACCTGGAGGACCTAATGGTCCAGGAGGACCCGGTGGACCAGGTGGACCCGGAGGACCAGATGGACCTGGAGGACCCAATGGACCTGGAGGACCCAATGGACCTGGTGGGCCTAATGGGCCTGGGGGACCAAATGGGCCTGGGGGACCTGGAGGACCCACACCTACCCCAGAAGAAGAAGATGAAATACCAGAAGATGTTTTAGAACCATTAGGACCAGGTGGTCCTGGTGGACCAGGGGGCCCAGGAGGTCCT